TGTGGATAAAAAAATTATGCTCGTATTTACGTCATAAACACGGCGTATGTGGCGCCCTCTAGAAGATACATCGAAATAGATAACAAATTATGATTTCTCGTATACAAAAACATCTACCCCTAAATTTTCACGTTCATACACTCAAAAATATTATAATTATTACGAAAATTCAATTTTTAATTTCCAACTTTGACACCCTGTATCTTTTTTGTTATTAACATTTTATTAAGGCATATTGGCTCCAATCGTAATATTTTGGAGTAAAAAATCTAGTATGTCTCTATGGACCATTACTTACGGACCACCCTGTATATATGTATTTTCTATATTTTAATTAATTAGATCAGTCATTACTCACTTGTGGCCATTTCTAAACCTTTTTCATTGACCTCCAAACACACTTTTTGTTCCATTCCATTAAAATCAAGTATTTCACCTTCAATGATTCCAGGAAGTTTGACACTAAATATTTCTTCTAAATCGGTCTAAAATAAAATAAGGTAAAATGATTTTACCTATCAAATGCCCACTGCTTACCCCTTTAAGAGAATCCGCTAGTTGCAAAGTCTCATTCATTTTAAATTTTGGAAGGGACACATCAACTTCTTCTTTGGTCATATTATTTGTAAGTAGAGTTAAATCGTGAGAAAGAATTTGGTTCAAATTTGTTTCACTTTCAGGTAAAACAACAATCAGACTTATATTACTATTCGCAAGTGGCAATTTTAAAATTTTAGCGTGAAGGGTCGGACTATACTTATAATAAAATTCACCTTTCCTTTTCATCATTTGAACTTCAATTTTATTTTCCACATTTAAAAGGAACATTTCAGGTACTGTGTCTAATAAGGCAAATGGATCAGACCAAACATTTTGAAAATGCATAGCATTCAAAAAAGTAAAATTAGTACCGTCTTTTACACCACTAAAATGTGTAATTTTGTGGACAGTTTTATTTTTTACATAAGCATGTATTATTTCATTAACACCCTCTTGTTCAGTAAAATTCAAAAAATTTATATTACTGAAAAAATTATCCTTAAGAACATTTTTGAAAACAGCCTCCATCATAGTTTGATTTTTCAAAAAAGAAGTGTTCCCATTTAAGAGATCACTGACTGAATCAAAAGTAGCAAAAATATCTTTGTAACCAGCAATTGCCACATTAATATCAACATGTAAAGTTGCACTGAAAAAATCCTTATTGTGAAGGCATGGATCCTGGGATAGAAGGACAAGAAATGAATGAATACCAATAGGTGAAAATATTTCATTATCATTATGTTTCTTCAATTTCCTGTTCTGTGTCCTCAGTTTCATGTTAAGATGTTTCGTAAACTCTCCAATTCCTCTCGTGAGTAAACAGAGTTCTATTTCAGCAGCCATATTACTTATTAATGTTTCCTAATTAATGTACCTAAAACACAGTATATTCCAATTTCCAATCATAAATTTTCAGCACTGTTTACTTTTTTAGAGATAGTCACATAAAATATATTTCTATTTATTTAATTTAGTAATTTACAGAAATTACTTACTTAGGCAGTTACTATTATCATTAGTAGTATTGGGTAAAATTAGTAAATAAGTAGCTCTATAACCAGATGAAGTTGTGAAGTTATAGATGAGTAAGTATAGAAACATGGACATTTAAAATTATTATTTTTTTATAATCTAAAATAACTATTTAAACATGTAAGTAAACATTTATTAATTGAAGCATTTTTGTAAATTGTGATTTACCTAATTTAATTTATATTTTCTAAGATTTTTAAATTAATTTTGGAAAATACAAAATTTAAATAAACAGCATTTACTTATTTGCCTTATTTTTTTATAAAAATAGCTATTTATGATATACGTGTTAAAAGTAAGATTTTATTTTGTGAGTGAAGATGATTAAAAAACGAGCGTAGCGAGTTTTTTAACTTCACAAACAAAATAAAATCACTTTTAACACGTATATCATACACTATTTTTTCTACAAAACTGTTAAAAGTGGGCTTTTTAATTGTCATTTTTGATGTTAAAAATGTCATTTTTTGACACGCGTGTTAAAAGTAAGTTACTTTTAACACTAGTGTTAAAAGTACCGGTTGCTACGAAAATTTTGGTTCATAAACACTGCGATCTGTGTGGTATTTTTTGATTTCTTATTTTTATTGAGTTTAAAGTTCTTCCGATTGTTTTGTAGAAAAAATAGTGTATGATATACGTGTTAAAAGGTGATTTTATTTTGTTTGTGAAGTTAAAAAACTCGCTACGCTCGTTTTTTAATCATCTTCACTCACAAAATAAAATGCCACTTTTAACACTTGTATCATAAATAACTATTTTATATATTTTCAAAATAATTTGATTTATGTGTCACGAATAAAGAAATTATTGCAAAATGTTGCAAAATTTTATTTAAAAAAAAATGTAATCTAATAAAGAATTTGCGTTATTTTTTCTTTGTAAAAAATTTAAATTTCTGTAATTCTTTCAAATGTTTTGTTCACAATACTTACGAATTTTCAATTGTTATTTTTTGTTTCACAATAAACTAACCACACCACAATATCACTTGCGGATGCGTAACAGATAAACAATAAACACTACTAACAGGAAAGTGTAGGCACTAGGCATCACGTGTCTAAAAAAGTTTGGTTAGATCTTGCACTTTATTTATTGACAATAATATTATGCATTATGCAATTGCATCTACATACATCCTTGACAATTTGTGTTACATTTGCAACTCTCGAGTATTTTTGGTTGCCTATGATCATAATAATACTTGGGGTAATACCCAAGAATATTTAAAATATCCTTGGGTAATACCACAGAATATAACAACGTAATACCACAGCCTACATAGAGTCTAGGCTGTAGTAATACCATAGCAATGGCTACCAGCGTTGCCAGATGTCCCGATTTGCAGCCCGAAATTAAATGTCCCGCGTGGACAAGTTCAGTCCCGCTTTTCGGTGATTACTAATTTGAAACTCAAATAAACGAATAAGTATTTAAAAATTAATTATTATATAGGTACGTTTTTTTAGTATGTTCCGCTTTCGACGAAAGAATCCTGCTTTTTTACTCAACGGTTAGTCATTACAGGCTGTGGAAAACATAGCCCTCCGCACGGCCACCGACGCGCCCTGGTACGTAAGAAACACTGACATATTACGAGACTTACAATACACAAACGCTACACAGACAATAAGACAAAACGCGGAGAAACGATTTGACGTAGCCGCTAGACATGACAATCCCCTCCTCAGGCAAGCCGTTGACTACGTACCCGACGTGACCGACAAACACAAAAGACCTAGACACCAACTTTTTGACCCTGGGTGACCACCCCAATGACCCCCCCCCTGCCCGCTAACCTTTTCTGTTTCAGAGACAGCCAGGATCAAGAAACGAAGACAACGACACACACACACACACACACACACACCCCCCATACCCTCCTTAACCCTCCCCTCCCGCGCTAGCCTAAGGGCCACCTTAGCAAAGCGCATCCCAGGCTGCATAGCCGCACTACCCTACCCAACCATACCACACATAAACATGACACTACCCCCGGGGTTTACACAGACGAGCCGGCGAAGCAAGAAGAGCGCCAGAAGAAAGGGCCCTAGCCGGCGGGGCCCAGCCAGGACAAAAGGAGGTCCCACAAAGCGCCTACACCGGCCGCATTTGCGGTCGGGGTAGACGACGGATGGGGCCCACCTACGAAGGCTGTCCAGGCCTACACGAGATGAGGCAGGATAAAGAGGGATAATCCCCCTCGATCCCAAATCATTGAGGCCAATTTCTAGCCATGGAATAATGGCGCGCGCGCGTGGCGCACTCAAAGGTTTGCCCGAAAAAAAAATTGGCAATGCTGATGGCTACATATATAGCTCTTGGCTCTAGCTTCTAGCTCTAGCTTCCTGCACTATTTGAAAAGACGTGATAATCGCGCAAGCTGAGGTATAAAACTTACAATTAGCACAGCGCCGGATTAACCAGGGGGCTAGAGGGGGCTGAACAAATCATTTTCATTGGAAATGTATGTTGTATTACATATAAAATTTAATATTAAGAAAATAGCATACTGAATTAATTTAAAAGGACTTTTGCTTCTTCATAAAGGAAGTTTTGTGATATGGCCCTCTTGAGGGAACCTTCCCTTCAAGCCTCAGGCCCCACCGCGCCATTATTCTATGGCTAGAAATTGGCCTCAATGATTTGGGATCGAGGGGGATTATCCCTCTTTATCCTGCCTCATCTCGTGTAGGCCTGGACAGCCTTCGTAGGTGGGCCCCATCCGTCGTCTACCCCGACCGCAAATGCGGCCGGTGTAGGCGCTTTGTGGGACCTCCTTTTGTCCTGGCTGGGCCCCGCCGGCTAGGGCCCTTTCTTCTGGCGCTCTTCTTGCTTCGCCGGCTCGTCTGTGTAAACCCCGGGGGTAGTGTCATGTTTATG